GACATGATTGAATTAAAATGCACCGAATGATGCCTAGTTTGTTGTCGAGATTGACTGAGAGTTCAATCATGGTTGATTTGATTGTTCAAACGTTCGAGTTCGTTAACATGTTCAATATATTTGTACTCCGTAAATTATCGTATTAATTCTTGTGTCATCAAACGATTATCAATTAGTTGATAAATTATCGTCTCATCCTTTGACTTCGTATATTATGTTTTAAATTATTTACTGAACTTTCCCCAGCTCACCCACGTTTACCCTCTCAGTTGCAGGTTAAATTTGGAGTAAATTTTGGTGGAGAATTAGGTTGTTCAATGAATGAAAGATTTTGATTAGTTGTAATTTAAACAGTTATCGAGAGGTTATTTATTTATTTTTGATGTTTTTTAGTGATTCTAATATTTAATGAACATTCAGTATATTTGTTATTGAGGTAATTAGCACTCTGAATATTAATAAATGGATTGGGGTGTTACAAATTTTAGTACCAGAACTTAGACTTTAGATATTATATGAGATTTATAGAAAATGAGGTCACTATGTTTTCCGTTGAGATTGACAGTATTAGATTTTTGAATTAAAAACACTAAGTAATTTGAAAAGAAAAGTGGAGGTGCTAGTTCTGGACGTTTGGGGATGATGAGAATGTAGCTTTTTGATAATTATATGAAGGTCCCCTTAATTTATAATTTGTTATATATATGTTTCAATCGTAGATGATGTGGAAATTAGTAGCTAAAGAAATTTCGAGGACGAATTTTTTTTAAAGGGGGTAGATTGTGAGATCCCGAATTTTCTAATAGAAGTATTGAATTTAAGTTTTTTTTTTTTACCTTTTTTTTTTGGGGGGGAGATTTAAACCCTTGATCTTGAGAAGGCAAAGACTTCACAAGGTAAGGAGTACCATTGGACCAAAAGCTCGTTGGTATATTGAATTTAAGTAAGTAGAAACAATATAAAATTTTGTGGAGGAAAACATAATTAATATTAAACTTTGTGACATATCTATAATTAATGAAACTAAAAGGTTGCAAACTATATCGTTTGAGTTTGAATTCCGAAATAATATTTCGTTCAATTGCTGATATTTTGTTTGACTTGTCATTAATTGCTATGATGTTAGCTTTGGTGAAATACTTGAGATTTTTTGACTCGTGCGTGATGTATACTCGATGGCGTTGTTATTAATTGTTCATTGTGATTCGTGTTTGTGGCCTTGAGGGGTGGACATGATTGAATTAAAATGCACCGAATGATGCCTAGTTTGTTGTCGGGATTGACCGAGAGTTCAATCATGATTGATTTGATTGTTCAAACGTTCGAGTTCGTTGACATGTTCAATATATTTGTACTCCGTAAAATGTCGTATTAATTCTTGTGTCATCAAAACGATTATCAATTAGTTGATAAATTATCGTCTCGTCCTTTAACTTTATATATTATGTTTTAAATTACTTATTGAGCTTTCCCCAACTCACCTCATTTACCCTCTTAGTTGCAGGTTGAATTTGGAGTAAATTTTGGTGAAGAATCGGGTTGATCAATGAATGAAAGATTTTGATTGGTTGCAATTTAAACAGTTATCGAGAGGTTATTTATTTATTTTTGAGGTGTTTTAGTGATTCTGATATTTAATGAACATTCAATATATTCATTATTGAGATAATTAACACTCTAAATATTAGTAAATGGATTGGGGTGTTACATTTAACTTCAAAGTGTACACACACAAACTCTACACTTACACACACACGGTATACACAACACAGCCCGCTCAGCCCCGTAAATGACTCACCAACTTTACATTTAAACATGTGGAAAGTTAATTGGATAATTACACTTGCTCCCTCCAAGTTTTTAAGTAATTTCAAAATTAACCTACTAAGTATTTTTACACATGAAATTCCTATAAATGGATCCCACTAATCCATCACTAATAGGGTCCACATACTCAATGTATGCTCATTCACATCATGCCTATAAAAGATTTAATTTAATTAACTTTTTAATAATTTCACATAATTACGATTTAACTCACAAAATTATATTCATACGCATGCAATAGATGATTGGGTCTCACAAAATTACTTATCCATACACTTTCTCTCAAATAAGTTTAAAAAAATGTATCAACACCCAAAAAAATCTAATTTTTAACTCTAACTCATCCTGAGCCCGACTTTCAATTTGAGGTACTCAACTCGAGTAGCTCAATTTAATTTCGGGCTCAATTCGGGTTAGTTTGATTTAACTAATTCGGGCTCAAATTAAGTTCGTAATTCAGGTTCAATTTGAGTATGACACAATAACTTGACCAACTTACATTTAAAATATTACATATTAATTAGAACAACTTAAAAATTAGAACTATAGCCCTTCTCCTCCCCCAATCTCTCTCTCTCTTTCTCCCCCCCCCCAAAAAAAAAAAAAATGT